CAGCGGCCCCTAACTGCATGTTGTTTAACATATATTTATAATTAATTATGTGCATATTTAATGAATAAGATTTGGAAAAATAAACTAGATCATTCTAAATAACGGCACTTGATATTCTTCTTAAGAAACTTAAAATGAGTCATTTTGGGTAGGCTGGCTATAACCTGATTGTACGTATACAATCATAACTTGGATGAAGAACAGAACTTGTTATCCTGTTTCATTAGATATTAAAATTTACATAGATCTTATTCTGTTGTATGAAATGAATCAGTTTCAGAAGCCATGAAGATGTACAGATTTCACATTGAACAAAAAAAATGTTAATCTTAAATAATGTTTATATCAGTAAGAATGATGGGCTGAAACTAATTAAATAATTATTGTTTTGAGAATTAAGATGGAAACAGAATGCTAGAGATTCACTGCCTGCATAAGAAAACTGTTTGTCGTGTCAAGATAGGTTTTCATCTAGAAATAGAGCCAACCACTTAGCCATACAAGAAATGATAGCTCTTTTCAAACTTTTGCATGCTCTTTGACTTTGAGGGATTTAAGTTATTCAAAAACCAAAAACATGGGCATCACTTAAATTAGTCAAGACAGAAGGGCTTGGTCTATTTGTATATGGTGCATCAATCAATGTATTTTTACTATATTCTGGTGATGTTGTTTTGCTTGAATCTACGTGACTTACAAAAGATCACATCTGAAATCAGGGGGACGAGGTCCCAGAGGAAGTACTACCAGAGCCATTCAGTCGGTTGCAACAGACGAACTTACTTAGAGCCTCAACTTCATCATTGAGGAGTGAGCCACCTGCCATGGAATTTGCCCAAGGGCATCCAGCAGTAGCAGCATCACATCTATCTCAAGCTTTCAAGAAGTCTTTCTCCCGCCGGGGCTCACCCCATTATGCAGAAAACTTGAAGCAAGAGTATTCAGTTGTCTCCATCCATGCTCCAGTTTCAGAACCTAAGCCAGCCAAATGCCCTTATGATCAGGAAACTAGTGCATTTGCTGCCAATTCTCCTTCCAATATATCTGTGAATTTAGCAAGTGTAAAATGCTCAGCCAATGTGGCTTCATCAGCTAGTTTATCACCATCTCTTCTGGAAACCCCTGTAAAAAACATAAATTCCTCCAGTGAAATGTCTACCACTCAAAGAACTCCTGCAGAACTTGTCTACTCCCCGGTCGAACTGATGAGTGCCACTCCTGTTCTTCGAACACCTAAGAGACGATACATGAGCCCAAATGATGATTCATTTAGATCACCAAGCAAACTGGTCCAGCGTCCACCCCGTAGTAAGAGGTCTTTGATTCTTGACACCCCTGTGAAGAATGTGAAGATTGAGGATGATTTGAGTGAGATTGGAAAGTCGTCAATTGATCATGAAGTCTTTGATATTCTTCCAGAGACACTTATCCAATCAGTAAACACTGAACTCCCTATATTTTGTTTCTTAAAGTCAATATAATTTTAACCCAATACATCTAGATATGTTAGTGCCTCGTACAGCCACTATATAGTTCGTACTTCAATTGAATTTGTAATGTAATTTACAATGCCCCCACAGATCAAAGAAAAAGAGAGGAGAATATCATTGGAGCTGGATCCAGCCATCTCTCAGGCAAAATGGCGTCGAAAAATGATTGTCAGCTTACCCAAGTTCTTTGACACAGTCTATTTCTTCTTTCAATCAATCAAACGTTCCGTCATCACAAAAGAGGAGCTCATGCATAAAATAATCGCTGGCCATATAGCTGTTGTTGACAGAAGTAAGCTTAATCGAATGAGAAACTTGAGTCTTTTCTGGTATTGAAATTGAGCTCAATGCCCTTGTTTTACTTTTTGCAGGAGAGATTGAAGAACAACTCAGATTGCTGCAAGAATTAGTTCCAGAATGGATTTATGAAAAGGCAGCATCTAGTGGGGATCTCCTCTTATGGTCAGTCTTACAATTTTTGTTCCTTTCATGAATTGTACGTAGTTTACAAGTTCTTCTAGAAAAATTCTACTCATTGTATGATATGATGGTTAATTACGTGTATTAATCATTAAACCTTAACATTCTACATTTTGGTGTTCTTAACGGCTATAACCTTTTGCAGCGTTAACAAGATTTCAAGTCCTGAATTGATACGCACGAGACTTGCTGAGGCCAAGTGAGAGAACCAAGAGAATACCAGCTGATATGAAGTGCCATTTTATAAATATTTATTAGTTTCACCATGAGCCACACATAAAATCAAATGCACTTCCAATTCCTAATTCTGGTTAATTCGATTATATGTAGTTGGATTACGGTATCAATTAGTATAAGCCAAAAGCTGCACTTCCTTTGTACCTTTACATGGTTCTTATCAACTAAAAGATGCTTTCATTGTTCAAATTCTTGTAGTAATAGCCCAAATTTTATCTTTCATGTCTTTGCAGTCTAGTTCATTATATTCTGATTGGTGCAACCAATGGCTAACTTGAATTAGCATTACTATAATGCCCATGAAAGGTTTTCTATTGACAGCCAGCATTAAACTTCCAAATTATTGTGTGATATAGCTTATATATTTTTCCAATTCTTGAAATAATCCACTTATCAGATAGGGTAAAAGTGAGGCATGAGGCAGAGGGTACAACAATCCAAGAGATTTTCAAAACTCGAAAGACTTTACTTAGTTTTTAATCACACATTCTCTAACAATCTATCATTTTAAAATGCATTCTACATTAAAAAAAAAAGGGGCTCGAACATGCCCGCAGATGGAAAGATAGAATCTTTGCATTTGAATTCTTGAGATAGTTATACACTCTAAAATCTACACAAGTTTGTTAGATGCATTTTTAAATTGTAAACTTTTGAATCCTTTCTCATCTTCCATGTGTAAAACTGGACAAAGGAGGAACATTAATAAAGTTTTCGACAAGGAATCTTGAAACACTGCACGAGCAAACCGTTGAATGAGTCAAATCCTAAATGAAGCAACTTCCAAGTGAATTTTTCGTATGCAGTATTTAAACATTATAATTCTCTTCCGTCGTTGCCTAATACATAAAAAAGTTTCAACTTCATTTTTTTCCTTAATGATGAAGTTCTTTACCTCAAGTTAGCAGACAAAACATGGCCAGTACCAAAGGCATTCTCGAAGGTACCCCTCTCTTTTAAGAGGATTCGAGGCAAGTCAATCCCCGATAAAATTCTTCGGTTTACATCAAAAAATTTCTAAACAAATTCCTAAATAAATTGCTATTGACTAAATTTCTAAACTAACATTTCCTAAAAAAATGCCTAAATCCTAAAGCACAAAACAATGCCAAACAAATGCCAAAAACACTTTCCAGAATGCCACGTTTTCTCTGTAGTATAAATTTATTACCTATTGAACAAAACAATGCCAAAAACACTTTCCAGAAAATAAATCTAGAATTTATTATAATTGCACAACATATTTATAGGATAAATTCTGGGAAATACCCAACAACTATAGCTCTACAAGACTACAAGAACACAAACTATTTATCTATTTCCGACTCCAAAATAAAACTGTCATTCGGACCATTCTATTTCCAACTCCAAAATAAACATCCATTTCCAAAAATTAATACGATTATATATTTATATCTGTGACTGTATATATATAAAATATGGAGGTAGTAAAAGAAACAAAAACAAAATGATTCACCTCAAATGCTGAAGCTCCCTGGAACCTGGCGGCATAAAGAAATCGTCAATGGCGCCTGGCAGAAAGAAATTGTCAATGGCTGCAGCTGGAAGTGGCGAACGGTCGAACGGATTGAGTTTGGAGAGGAGACTGTGGAGTTCGAGTCTTGTGCAGCGCTGGCTTCTCTGGTTTAATTGGGGATTTTAAGTCATTTTCATGGGCTATGGCGGGAATGGGGTTTAATTGGGTGCAAATTGGGTTTAGTTTTATCATTTATGTGGGAATTGGGCTGGGTTGGACTTGGACGGTGGGCTATTGGGCTGGAAAGTGGAAAACTTGGGCTTTGAAAAAAAAAAAATATTTTTTTTATAGGACCTCGGCTTGGGCAAGGGTAGGCTGTAGCCCACCCCTATCTCCGCCCATGATTGTTTCTATTTGACTAATTCACATACAAGTTGAATAGTGCAATAATGCAATTATAAATTATCTGGTGCATGAAGATTAACAAATGTAAGAACACATGCAACAAAACACATATAGCGCAATAAGGCAATTATAAATTATCTTGTGCATGAAGATTAATAAATGTAAGAATACATGCAAACTAGTTTATTAAGTTCTACATCCAGGAGAAGGAGAAAAAAGCGACAATAATACTAGTATTTGAGGAAAACGCAATTAGAATTTCAAACATCGAAGGAAGGGGCAAAATTAGAGGTGCTTGAACATGGATACAATTGAACTATAGTGTAGCTTTACTGTATCTGCCATATTTATTCACTTAACGATAAGCGGATTAGTTCTTGATCTTCGGCTTCTTCACTATCATCACTGTGCAGAGAGCATGATGTGCACAATAGTCGCTCACACAGCCCAAAACAGCCCTGCAAGAGCAATCGCAACAACTTATCAACTGAATTTATTATTATTTTTTTTCTAAGTTCTTATAGATGTTTTAAGAGTTGCTTTCTTTTCCTCTCTTCAGAGATGCATGTCCATGCGATGGACATTTTGTTGTGATACTTCAAGAAAAAAGATTCACCCTTTCCACGAAAAATAGGAGGTAGAAGTTATGAATATTTATAAAATCTTACCATTTTACCGAACGCTATTGGATCAAATGGCAGAGATATTGTATCAAAGTAAAGATGTTTTGCTTTTGCCAAGGAAAACAACTAAAGGCGACCTAATGCGATATAATTCCTTAGTTTTAAGAATTTTTAACGGATTTATAAATAATTGATGGCATAATTTTCTGACCTTTTTATAGCTCCATATCCATGACCAGGGGCGGATCTAGGGGGCGGCGCCACCCTAGCTGGATCCGTCGAGAAGAAATTTCTTTTGTTGAGAATAGATAAATGATTTATATTATATATCTGATAATTCATTTTATTTACAATCATCCTTGTTAGGTCAGTTGATTGGCGTTTCCTCTATTAAATCAAAGTGTTGGAGATTCGAACCCTGATCTGCTACCTTATGTTTTGTCATTGTCGCACTTCTATAAAACACGCTTTTACTTAAAAGATGGATATAGTGATCTGCTGACACATGTCTTCTGTCTTGACCGTTGGATGAGATCTGGATTGAGATATAAATGCTGGCTGTGACTGTTCACCTCATTCTGGAGTCTTCTCGCGTTCGATTGAGGGTTAGGGTTTGAGAGAGTTTAGTGATAGGTTTTCTTCAGAATCGATTCTCTGTAAATTCTTT